ACTCTGAAAAAACCAATCCCTTTGAGGGAGGGATGGAGCAAAACCCCCCCCATTTGGACTGGGGGAGACATCTGCCAGCACAGGGACTTGGCAAAGATGGGGAACCTGCGTCAGAGCTGAACCCTCCGGCTGGAACCCTTTCCAGCTCCTCCGACACCGGGGCTGGGCTGGGAGAGGCCCTTCGCTTCTGTCTGAAACCTTCATAAAAATAGCACAATTATGGGAAAATCCTTGGCCAAGTGGAAAAGAAAACACCAGTCTGGGTTTCACGAGGAAGCAGAGCTATATAAAAGCGCTCCTATAGCCTTCTGCTATTCCTGTCAGGCATCCAAAGCCTCTCCCAGAGCCCTTCTCCGAGGGGCACATTTCCAGGGGGGCGAGGTCGGGCCCCTGCTAAAGGATTTCATTCTTTTTTTCCCCCAGCATTTCACTTCACCTGATCAGAAGTTTCCATACACGGGGAACAAATGGGCTGCGGGGCAGCCCCCACCGGGAGCAGCTGCTTGATCCTGAGCCATAAATAACAGGGCAGGCTGGAAAATCTCCAGCAGTTTTATTCACAGGGTAGTGATGTCTGTCACCCCTGTCCCCGCTGTCCTTGCAGCAGCTTTTCCCTGAGCCCCCCAGTGCCTGCCCTCACAGGGATGATCCCCCCATACAGACTTGGGGTGCCCTGACTGATGGAGGGATTTAACCCTGGGGAGAATCAATCCTGGAGAGATTTAATGTATAATCAGGTGATCAGCCTCCTGGACAAGGTTTGTGCTCACAATGCCCCCAGACCCTCCAAAACAGCTCTGAGAGAGCAGAAACCTGCCTGGCTGTGGGGCTTGATAGCTTTTGGGGGCCACGTGGAGAGGGGTGGCACCAAGGCTCTGTTATTTCCCCCCTGGGGATCCCTCTCTGCTGCCAGGGCAGGGTCACCCCGGGGTGACCACATTCCAGGTGACATTTCCTCCGTGCCTGGCCTCTTTCTGTGGGACATTTCTCGGTCAGCAACGGAGAGTGGCCTCGACACTATTTATACCCCACTCTGGAGCCGGGTAAAAATAACCCTGGTGTGTTTGGCAGCCTGGACAGGCTCCTGTAAATCCTCCCTGTCAGCAAGAAAATCCTCCTGCCTGAGCTGGAGCCGTTGTCCCACTGGGAGAGGTGGTGTGGGGGAAGCCCAGGGCCGTCCGTGAGCCTGGGCCTGGAGTGGTTCACCCGGGAAAGGAGGAAAGGGATGAAGTGAACCCACGGAGAACAACCGTGGCATCCCTCCCCAGTGCCAGCGTCCCAAAAAAAGGGCTGGGAAGCAAAGCAGGAGTGTCGAGTTGCTCTTGAACCGGGATTAAAGGCCACTGGCACTGCTGTATTTATAGTTTGTGATCATCCTCTGAAAAAACCCTCATTGTGAGGGGCAGGGTGGGACAGGGGGCACTCTTTGTACCGTCCTTGGCCACGGGAGAAGGTCAGGGTGAGTCCTGCAGCACCTCGTGGGGCCCGAGGAGGACCCAGCGCCCATCCCTCCCTCTCTCCATCCCTCCCTCCCTCCTGCAGAGCCCCGGGCCAGGTTTGCAGCGGCAGAGCCCGGGGCTGCTGCCGCCTGAGTCAGCTTATCTCCCCCAGCTATTAATAGGCTGCCTGGGCTCGTCCACGCTCTAATTGCAGTTTAATAAAACATCCAGTGCAGCCGGGGAGAGGCTGCCCTGCATCCCAAACTGCAGCTCTGCTCCTCTCCTCGGCTGGGAATCGCCTTGGGATTCCCGTGGCAGACCCTGGCAGTGGGGCAGACCTGCGACGGTGCCCCCACCCCGAGGGGTTTGTAAGCGCAGCCCGAGGACGTGCCGTGGTTCTGGCGCTTTTCCACCTTCATCCTAAACTGGAGCCAAAGTGCTGACGCGGGGCTGGAGGCTCTTCCCGGGGCCGTTGCTCAGAGACACCCTTGAGTCGTCCCTCCTGCTGTTCCTTGGATGCTCGGGGTGGGAAATACTGAGCACGAGTTTTTTTCCTGGGGGGAATTTCCCTGCAGGTCTTACACAACCGGCTGGTAAATAACAACTGTTCCCACCGGGGAGGAGCAGCCAAAGGCCACGCCTGCCAGGTCCCTCCATCCCACCGGTCCCTTCCCCATCCCTCCAGATCCCCAGTGCCCACAGGATCGTGCCCTCCCGCCCCAGCAGCAGTTTTCAGGGAAAAGGTGGGGAAACAAGATAGGAATGCTTTAATTTCCCTCTCTAAATCACATAGGACTGAAGTCAATAGAAGGGTGAGAGCCCCAGTGTCCCCGTGCCTGGCTGTGTTTGGTGTCACTGTGTCCTGGGGGCAGGAACACCGTGCTGGGCTCTGACCCTGCTGCACCTCAAAGGATGCACTGGGAGGCTCCAACTGTGCCATCATGGGCTGGATGAGTTCCCTGTGTCTTCATCCCAACAGGAACAGCTGGTTCTGGTGGAAACCAAACCCCTCCTCTTGTGCTCACACTGTGGCCGTGGGGCCTGTGCTCAGGTCTCTGCTCTCTGTGTGGAGCAGTCGCTTGTCAGGACAATGAGATGGGAATGGGGTTACACCTTTGGGCTTTTTGAGTGACCCAGCAGCAGCTCCAGGGGTTGTGGAACTATCCCAGCGACAGGAGCTTGTGGCACAGGTGGCTGAAGGACCGGCCTCACATTTTTTGGAGGTGTCCTCACCCTGAGCCCTTCCTGCTGCGCGGGGCGGGGGCTCCAGAGCTCACACCCAGCACGTCCCACACGGGCCCGGAGCCAAGGATGGCACATCAAGGTTGTGGTGAAACCAGGAACTCCAGTGACCTTGACCCCCTTGGGCAAAGAGCCAACTGCACTGACTGTGCCATTGCTGAACCTGTTTGCCCACGGGATGAGCACCCACAGGATGAGCACCCACGGAATGAGCACCCATGGGACATCAGTTCACAGCCACATCTTCCTTGGCCTTCAACCACCTCCCAGAACCCTCTGGCTCCTCCTCACCTCCCACAGCCATACCCCACAAGTTCCTCCAACCTCTCAGCTGCAGCTTTTCCTGCCTTGGCCTGAGCTCACTCTGAGTTCAGGGCCCGGCCCCGGCCTCTCCAAAGAGGGTTAAGTTGCTTTTTCAGACACATGGTGGAATTAAGGGCACTCACAGCACTGCTGGGCACTGGCACAGGGCACCAGGACAGGTCCCAGCTGTCCTCAGTTGGATGAAGAGGGATTGCATCAGCTCATCCCAAAAAAACCCGAATAAAGCACCGCTTTCAGCCCGACCACACGTGGTTTCGAGGTGAAAGCTCCAGGAATTGGAAAGGCTGGATCCCAGCTGGGAGCAGCTCTGGGATTTCAGTGGTTTGCACACAGCACAGGAGGTTAAAGCAGGAACAAGGACCAGCAGCTTTAGTACTTGAAAATTTTATTTTCTCAAATGAGCACCAACACATATTGTAAATATGACAAACAATACGCCTCCCTCTAATACTGAAGAACTATATACAATGTACAAACACAGGAAAAGGTGAAAACCAATTATTTGAAAACAAACAATTGCATTTATGACCGAAGCAAATGACCTGAAAGAACACGTCAAAAAAAAAAAAATTTAAAATAAGATCAAAGAAATGAAAGTATACACAATTTGTAAACACAAGAGCATCCATAGACAGGCTGGTATTGGAAATATTGTCCTTAGTTTTGTCAGTGGGGGAAAAGCATTCCCGTTTCCTTATGGAGAACAAAACGAAGGATACACACAGTTGGAACGATGAGAACAGCTTACTGGTGGTTGTACCTTACACAATGCCATTCTGCTTGCTTTTAAATACATTGATTTATTTTATTTTTTTTTTCTGAATTCAAGATGATTTTGTTTTCCCTCTTCTGCTTATTCTTTTTTTAAACAGGATTCTGCCAAACAAACAAACAAAAAAAATCCCTGTCTAACCTGATTGTTTCTGAGCACTGAGGCCTCTCACCTGGTGGGAAAAGCTCCTTCCCACTGAGCTGAGCTCGGGGTGTCTCCGACCTGCTCATCCCACAGCTGGATCCCACGGGAACGCGACGCTCCTCCCGAAAACAAGGAAGTGCAGTGAAATGCATGATCAACACACTCTCACAGACCAGTTAGAGAAATGCATACAGAGAAAATCCTCACTTGATCATCACGAGAGCAACGGGGTTGGTTCGTTCGCTTTTTTTCCTGTGTATTTTTTAAATCGTGTGCACCAAAAACGGAGAATTAAAGAGCGTGCAACAGTTACTGAGCACTGAAAACTGCTCCTTGCTCAGCAAAACACAGTCCAGTGGTTTGTGCTGTTGGTCCACTTCGGGATAAACAAGAGACCCAATGAATTAAAAACGAAGAAGGGGGAGAACAGGGGAGATAAAAGACAGAAAGGAGAACGAAATAAATGAACTTTACTGCCAGAGAGGTAAACTTTTACTCTAATTTGTTATGTAGCAGCCTGGTTTAAAAAAAAAAATAAAATAAAACAAACAACAACAACAAATAAAAATAAACCTCAAGAAGAAAACCAGGATCCATGTCCAGAGACTTGTGGTTTAGTTTAAAAACAAGGACTAGTTAAAAACCTCCACCCTCCCTCCCTGCTGCCCCTGAGCCACCAAGGACTCGGGGGCTGCAGCTCATGTTCAATCCTGTCTCCAGATCTACTTCACTCCAGCCAAAACTGGTGCAAGAGGGAATTCCAGGCCTGAATCCTACACACCTGATCTCCTTGGGAAGGTGTTCCAGCTTCCTCCCATCCCACTCCTCCCACCTTGGGGTCTGTCCTAACCCAGCCACACCTGCACCTTCAGCGGACAACGTAGATGATGAGTTTTGTTTCCCTTTCAACATATTTTCCAACAAATACAGAAGGAAACAGTATCATTTATAAACAACAGAAAAGTGCTCTCAGGGAGGGGCTCTGAGAAAACAGCACCAAATATATTATTATTATTCTTTGTTTTTTAAATTAAATATTATTTACAAAAGTATATTTCACAAGATAACGTCTGGGTTGGTTTTTTTTCTTGCTTTGTATATATTATCATCTGAATATTTATTACAGGGATTGGGGATTTCATGCCAGATAATCCACCAGAGGAGAAAACAATTTAAAACTTAAGTTTTAAACTTAAGTTTTAAAACTTTTAAACTCAAGTTTTAAACTTCTAAACTCAAGTTTTGAACTTTTGAACTCAAGTTTTGAACTTTTGAACTCAAGTCTGAGCTTTGGGGTAGATGGGGTGGGGGGGTGGGGTGTAAACTCTCAGCTTGCCAGACACGAGGCTGCCACACCAAAAGAGAAGGAAAACCCACTGCTGCCCGTGTTTCCCCAAGGAATGTCACCCGTGGGGAGCAGCACTGCCTGGACAAGGAGGTTTTTCCATAGGCCACATCTCCCAGCTGGTTCTCCCGGCTCCATTCCCTCAGGGATGGGCCCCCCCAGGAGCAGGGGGTGGTGACTGAGGCTCTTTGGTTGTGCTCTGGGTCCATCCACACTTCCAGGTGAAGCCGTGGCAGCCCCAGCACGGATCCCACCCCTGCTCCCAGCTCCCAACAGGTGAGTCAGGACTGGATTAAAGCCCTTCAGATTTACTGGGCACCAAACATCAGCCCCTTTCTCCTTGTCTCCCTGGGCAGAGCACTGACACCCCCCCCAGGGAACTCTGGGGGTGTTGGGGACAGTCACAGCCACAGAGGTTTGTTCCTGTCACACTCTCAGCAGTGGGTGACTCTGCGGATGCTGGTGGGACAAAACCAATTAAAAGCAGATTAAGATCTCATATTCAAGCTTAGGCTGGCTGCCATTAAAAGCCTGACACCTGTGATGAGTTAAAAACAGCCCCATCTGATGGATCGCTGTCCTTTCTAGTCCCAAATATACAGATAAAACCAGCTCTCTGTAGTTCTTATTTCTCAGAGCAGTTCTCTGCACAGCCTTGCCTTTTATATCACTTTTTATCAGCAGTCACTCCAAATACCAACATCAAAAGATGAGCCCCGTGTGCTCTCCTCAAACTCATGGGATTTGGGATTATCCCTCACTTCTCCCAGCTCCAACCAGACCCCTTTGAAGGCTCTGTTATCTGAGGAGACTCAAGAGCTGCTTGAAGAACAGAAATTACCTCCCACTACTCAAAACTCAATAAATTGTCATGGATCCCCAAGGAAAGGACAGGGAAATGGGACCAGCTCAGTGCCAGGGTGAACAAGACAGTGGGTACTGTGGAATTTTTGATTTCTAGTAGGTTTTTATCACTGACGGGAACGTGGATGATGGAAGCAGAGGCAACGAGAAACCAAAGCTGAAGCAATTGTTACACAGCCACAGCAGAAGGGTGAGGGCAGAAGCCACCTCAGGCTGGTCCCAAACTGATCCAACTCCACCCACTGCAGGAGCCAGATCAGCCCCCACCTCTCTTCCCTCTCCAGGATCATCAAAACCAGAGGTTTGAGAGAAAAAAACAGCCTTTGCTTCATTAGGTTTGGGTTTCAGCACAAGGACCCAACACTCAGATCCCCCCTGATCCCTCAGGAGCGTCTCTGTTCACATTCCCTGCCAATTTTTTAACACCAAAGGACTCTGTCCCAGCAGCCCCCCAGGCCTGAGCCCCTCAGAGCCTCTCCGGGGTGGAATCCAGCAACAGCAGATTACAGCTCCAAAGCTCCCGTTTCATAAGGAGTCACAAACCCCTGCACAATACTCTTTCCTTCTGGATTAAGAAAGATTCCTCCCTCCCCCCCCATGGATTAACCTACTTGAAAGAATTCCACAAACAAAAAGAAAATTCACTCAGAGAGATAAAACTAATTCAGTTCAATGGGCTTGAGTTATGCACCAGTTACTGGCTGGACTGTTGCAGAGCAAACTTCACATTGTCATTTATGCTTTTCTCTCTCACACACGACGCCCCTTCCCCTCCATCCACCTCGGGAAGGTCCTCAGGAATCACAATGGAAAAATTAAAATGGGAGGGACTTATCCCCTTGCAGTTTTGCTGCCCACATCTCCCCCCTGCTTTAAACTCCCAGGCGTAATTTCAGGGGTAGGGGGAAGATTAATAAGTTCTTTTTTTGTCTATCCCATTTCCCCCCTCCGTGCCTGCAGCAGGCTTCTGGGAGTGGGAAAAGGGGGGGGGAAGGTTTTGGGGGGATACCTCATGGCTTGAAATATCCACCTGTGCAATTCAACCACCAGCTCCCTCTGCTCCCTCCTCTCCCCATTTCTCTGCCAGGCTCCCACAGTGGAGACGTTGGCCGGGGCCTGGGATTTAAGGAAAAGATCCTGTAACAGCATTTTCCTACTTGCACTTGTGAAGGATTGATAAAACACCCCCAAGGGTGCTCAGGGGAGGCCTGGAAATCAAGGGGTACCCTCTGTTACTAAGTCTGTCCCCATCCTCCTCTAGGGAATTTCCTTTCTTGCCTCACATATGCCTTTTTTTCCATCCCTGTCATATCTTCTAAGCTGCAGCTCCAGCCTCCTTGTGCCTTAAGTGGTTTTCTCCTCCTCTCTGAAGGGCTCAGGAGTCAGGATTTGGTTTCTGCAGCCGTGTTCTGCTGGGGTGTTCAGCCCTCCCTACCCTGCAGCAGCGAGAACAAGGAGAGGCAAGAGGGAACCTCTGCAGCCCTCGGGCCCTGCCCCCCCAAACAACAAGTTCATAAACAGCAAACATGACACAGATTGCAACTGGCTCGTGGGGGGAACTCGTGCTCAGCCAGCCGGGGGTTGGGATGGGGAGGGTGAGGTATTTTATCTGTCCACCGAGACAAGGAGAGACGTTTCAAGCCTTGCTTAACCAGCACTGAGAGGAGAAGCGCAGGGTCAGCCTCGGATGATTCCCTTGGGGCCCACCCCCCCTCTCACCTCCTCCTGCCCAAACCTCGGGTCCTCCCCCCGCACCGAGGGCTCTCCTGGTACAAATGCCACCCCCAGAGCCACCGTCAGCGCGTCCTCCAGCACTGGGCACATGGAATGGCTTCGGCATTCGGGGCGTTCTCTGAGCCAGGACAGAGAGAGAAGCAGCCAGGGTCAACTCACAAACAGATACAAAGCAAAGAGACAGAGAGACAGAAATTTAGAGGCCAGTCACCAATAAAGATGGAGAAGGGTGTGAAGATGCTCCCGGGTTGCAGAGCCTCTAAATGCATGGAACCAAGCGTTCAGTCACTCTCTCACTCTTGGATATAATGTTCGGTTGGATGGCATTCTCTTACACGCTGCTAGGGCTGGGCTCTCCCACTCAATCCCAGCCATTATCCTTGATCATGTGAGCTAGTTCAATGATGTATTTGCCTTCTTTATACTTCTGGCTGCTTTCAAAAGCGTGTTCCTGAAACAAAACAAAACAAAACAAAAAGAAAAAAGGAGAAAGAATGAGACGAAGGTAAATTAGAGTTATGGATCAGAGCTGGGAATGCTGGTGCCTTGTCTGTCGAGTAAAACTGCAGCTGTGCTCCTTGGCTTTCAGGAAAATGATGTGGGAAGAATCTTAAATCCTGCTTCTGGCTATCTGGGAAAAAAGGACTGGCACCCTGTAAGGTGCAGATTTCTGCAGGCCAATGGAACTAAACATGGATTTAGGAATCACTGGTGATAAAACCCACCTCTTTCCAGGGAGAATTTATTACTTTGTGGAGAATGCAGAGGTTCTCTGATGGAACACACTGTAAAACCACCAACACTGGGAATGGGATGGGTTATGGTGAACTTCCCGTGGAGATGGAGGAGCAGGAGAAGGACCAGCTCTGCACAGATCTGTGGTTACAGCCATGGAAACACACGGGGCCTCCACACCTCACAACTGAGAGGGAAATCCCTGGGATCCCTCATGTCCCTGACCAGGAGGGACTCAGTTATGGAGGCTGCACTCTCCACATCAGCTCAGCTCTGCTCAGCTGCTCTCCTTGCTGCCTGTAACTCACCTGAAAGGTCATTCCCTGCTGGAGAGGCCTGGGCTCACTGCTGGTTATGGAATGCTGGGATTTGTTTACCACAAACTCAACTGATGTCCTTGGTGTCCTGCTCCATTTGTGGGATCCATGCCGTGTTTCTGCATGGATTCCACCCCCATCAATTTTTGATGTTTTCCTGGTCGCAGCCTTTCAACTGATTTAGTAAAAAATATTTCTGCCCAGAGGCCACAGATACAAAATGGGGTTTGTTCAGACACTGGTCACAACATTTGGACAAACCAGTGTGGTGTGTGCCTGCAGGAGCAGAAATTAGGATGTAACACAAGCCTTTATTTGAAACTAATTGAATTTATGAAGAGCAGGAGGCAGCAAACAGCTAAACCCGTGTTCAATAGCATTTCCAGTGGGAAGGACACGGGATTAATGGAGCATTCTATTACTCTGATAACATCTAGGAAAAAAAAAAGACAGCAGGAACCACATTTATCCTCGTTTATGGTAAGTAGCACTGAGGGGCACCCATCAAAACCGGGCCCATAAATGTATATATTCTTAATAATTCTTAATTCAAAAATTCCATTCAGCACAAAGAGCTGCTCTGAATGGATCCAACAGACATAAGGCAGGAGGGAAAATGGAAAAAAAGATGTGGATGTGCCCAAGTTAATGGTCTTTCCATGACACAACACGAACACCTTTGGGAAAGGGCTGCAGCAAAGCTGCCCCCCAGGCAAAACAAAGGACACTGGTACTCACATATTTCCACCCCAGCGTGGTTTTGCAGTTTTCACAGTAAATATCTGCCACCGCATGTAATCCCGTTAATAAGACCCGCTCCTCTGCAGGGCCACAGCCCACGTTAACTCTGGGGGGAAAGCAAGAGATGCTCCCTATTAGTGCTTTTTCCACACCCAACCCCCCTCCAGCAAAGCTGACAATGATTCATTGCAGTCTATAAAAGCATTAAAGCAGGAGGTTCAGGACGACGAGCGGTCCCAAAGATCTCTCGCAGTTCCAAAGGTAAAAATGAGATTTTTTTTTTTAATTCGAGAAGCTCCGAGCAGAAGATTAATAACACTCCAGGCACTCGTGCTAATTAAGCGTTTGAGAAAGATTTTCATTTTCAAAATTGATAAAATGGTGCTTTTGCTTTCCCCGAATGGAAAATTGAAAAATGGAACTGAAATCAGCAGTTCTTGGGAAAGACATCCCGGCAGTGACCTCACCCAAACTATTTTCAGTCGCCGGGAAATTATACTTGGGTTTTATGTTAGCTCTAAAAAGTGCATATTTAGAGATCATTTATCTCTACATTTACGAAATTCTGGCTCTTTGGTCCAGCTACATCCTTGGAGCAGAGAGTGACTCATCCACCAGCTCTTATTTCTCAATCTGATGATGAAAAAAAAAATCACCTTTTCCTCGCTGCTCCTCTGCAACCTCACCGGGAATCAAATATGAATCAGTGCTACTTCCTGCCTCTCTCTCTCTCTCCAAGTGTTTCCACCAAGCTCCCAAGTGCCAGGCAGAGGTTTTTTAAGGGAAACTCTCCTTTTGTTTTCTCCCACCCACCCTGGGCTGCAGGTGCCGCGTGCGCGGTACTCACACGGAATTGAAGAGATAAGCACGTCCTTGGCTTCCTTGGAAGGACTGAAAGGCAAGAAAACAAAGTTCAGTCGGCTGGGGGAGAGAAAAGAGGCCCAAGCAGGCCCTGCCCTCCATGGCTGCATCAGTGGTGGTCATGGAAACTCTGATCCAGGCCCTTGGGAAAGAGCACATGGAAAAAAGTTGGGAGATGAGCATGGAGGAGCAGGGGTTTTGTCCTGCAGATGGGAAGGGAGCAGCTGCCTCAGCTCTAACCCCTGCCCATTCCACAGGTGGGAAACCACTGGGAACCACCTGGAATCACTGGTGTTTCCACACAGGAACGTGCTGCTCAAGGGTTGAGTTGTTTTTTCTATCCCAGCAATGTCTCTTTTCACCCTTTTTCACTCCTGTTTATGAACTTCACGCTCCCAACATCACCCAGAGGCTGCCAAACGTTGCTTTGAATCCCTTTTCTAAACACAAGGTGCTCACAGAGATTTCCCACTCCACTGCCACAGCTGAACCACCCCGTGAATTCCCCTTGGGAAAACTGCAGGGACGGGGGCTGAGCCCAGCGGGGAGGTTGGGATCTGTTTGTGCACAAAAACACAAACACAACCTCTGCTCCAGGGGCTCTACAAAGACCTCACCCTTGCTGAGGTGTCTGCAAGCCTCCCATTCCCACTGATGTCCAGGAGATCTTTAGGACTCTGTTCCTGGAGTTCCTGGCATTCCCAGAGCCAGCAGATTCCACTGTGCCACCTCGGTGACATCTCCCTGTGATGGTGCCCTGCTGACAAAAACTGCCTGACACCAGCAAGTGCCACCTGCATTTTTAATGCACTTTGACAAGCACACACTGAATTAAACATTTGGTGCTTAGGAGCAAGAGCACAGTTGTCTGTACACCAGTTTCCTCGTGGGATACCCCAGGGAATGTCTGCACTGAGGGGTGGGAGCTGGGAAAGTCAAAGAGCAGCTTTTCTGGGCTATTTAATCCTTTATCTTGCACCTCACCAAGACCTTCTGAATATTTAATGGTTTTCTTAAAAACTCAGCTGATGATTTCAGATTAAATACCCTTAAAAAGGTGGGACACAGGGTTTTGAGGGGAAGGAGAAACCTGCAAGGTTTTAACTCGAACACTGGTCGTTTATTTAGTGAAGAGCAACCTCACACCACATCAAACAACCCTGGGGGGTTCCTGCCTTCCTTGGGTTGTTCCTTTCCATCAGTCCAGCCCTGCAAAGCTCCTGCCTCGTGGGCAAACAAAGCCAAAGCCATGACAGCTCCCTCCTGGAAGATCCCCCATTGCAGAAGGATCCTTTCCAGAGAGCAGTGGGCAAAAATGCCCCTGGGCACCCGGGCAGAGAGCCAGGGCCAGCAGTGCCAGCTGCCTGTGAGGTCTGCATGGCAGCAAGGGTTCTGCCAGCTACAAAATCACTGCCTGGCAAGGAATCCATTCGCTCCTGGAGGGATAACTGTTCTTCAGAGGGATCTGAAGCCCAATATTAGTTGCCACTCAGGGCACAGAAGAGCCACTCTGGATTCAGAGAGGATGCCCGAGGCACTTGGATATCTCTGTCAGCCAGACAAAAGCAGTGCCCTGAGGAATGCCTCTTTTCTTGGGAAGGAATTAAATGGGACAACATGGCTCAAGCATGTTTGGGTAATTGCATTTATTAGAGAAGCTTCTTTTAATCCTTCTGCAGCAGTTCTGTGTCGCTGCCATTGTCAGCTGGCTCATACCCCACATCCAACCAGGCCTGGCCTGGCTGCTCCAAAACGCCCTGGGAATTGTTGAACAGGAGGGAGAGGGGCTGTCCATGCTGCAGGACAGGGATACCAGCCTGGGAACAGGGATTCAGGGATGACACACCAAGTCCCACAGCAACATGTGTGCCATCAAAGCAAAAGGAAAGCAGATGAAGCTTGCTAAACCATCCAGGCCTTCCCAGTAAATACTTTTCCATAAACACCAAAGGGACTGAGTTTGCCAACAACAACAACCATGGGAGCAAAGTTTTTATTGGTACAGAAATAGGATTTTCCGTTCCTGCCGTACAAAGGCCTGTCTTTAATAAACAAAACCAATCCCATCAGCTGTGCTGGGGTTCACTGGACATTGTTCCATTCCACTCCCAGGCACAGCAGCATCCTTTCAGAGATGCCCTTCCTTCCAGCTCAAGCCAGTGCTTTAGGGGACATAAGGGTGGGCACTGGGAAAAAAATCACATTAATTATCCCCTGTCCAAGCAGAACTTCTCAACAAACCACTGCTCAGCTCTCAGGGCTGCTGCTGTCTTAATATTCCCCCTCCAGCCAGCTGAGGATTTGGCAAAACATATAAAAAGAAGCTGGAGAAGTTTGGCAACCACAAGTTCCCCAGTGCATTTGCCCTCTGCCGACTGTACCCCTACAAAGGTGGCACAGGAGGGTTTTATCCAAGTGTTGTAACCTGAGCATTTTCAGAAGATCTTCCTGCTCTTCTGGCACTCCAGAAAAATTGGCACATGCTGTAATGGAAAGCACAAACCCAGAAAAAACAGGTATATTTATACACAAGCAGATGTTCTTGTCTTTGTTTTTGTTGTTGTTTGTTTGTTTTTTAAAAAGAAACACACAAAGACATTTCCAAAACACACTTGGTTTTCACTGAAGTGACAGCCAGACCTACTTTCTATGCTCTGCATTTTCTCTGGGTAGATTTTCCTGATACACATTCAAAGGTGCATCTCTCACACACACACACAGAGAAATCCAGACTTCTTGTTCTCTGAAATAACAGCTCCTGGCATCACTTTCCAGCTGGAAGAAACAGAAAGGATCTTTTTTCATTGTTGTTGTTTCCCACTGAAAGCCCAAGCACATATTTTTCTCTGCACTGCTAATGCTCAGTGTCTGGCTGGAAACACATCTGTAAATGCCAGCACCAAACCCCTCCAAAAAAACAACACAGGCTTCGGGGATTTGAGAGGCACAACAGCTCATTCCTCCTGACACTCACACCCAGAAACCTTCCCTGCCTTGGGGTGCTCAGCATCTCAGAGCTGCAGGGCCCAAGGAGCGCTGATCTGAGTATCCAGGTGGGAAAGCACGAGCCTGGAGTGAGCAGTTTGGCCGGATCCTCTCCCGCCAAGCTGCCCCTCAGAGCAGAAGCTCCACGTTGAGATGCTTTGGCAGCTGCTCTGGTTTAAGAAGTCCCTATCACCCAATGTACAGACACTCATCATGGTCCCCTCAGCTGTGCTGGTTCCAAATTAGAGCTGTGAAATCGCTATTTAAAAAAAACAAATGCTTTGGCGGGGGGGAGGATTTGAGGGAAATGGCTTCTCCCCTTTCCCCTCTCCTGGGTCCAGTTAAAGGCCAATCCCACAGACTGCTCTGTAACCACAGGATGGGGCAGACACAAGTCCTTCAGAGCAGGGTGTTCTCCCTATTTGCTGGCAGAGGAGCCCAGTGCAGAGCTGCAGCTCTGGTGAGAGACAGAGCAGGGGAGTTCGGGTTTCACAGACGCTGCTAAACCAGAGCTGCCGCAGGAGGAAGCGGCACACGCAGCCAGGATCCAGCTCCAGCTCCTCCAGGGCAGCCACCAGAGAGGGACTCAGCCTGCAAGGCCATGAATCCTGGTATATCCAGCACCCACGACCTTGGGAGCTGTTGGTTTGGTTGAGCCCACTTGTTATATTCTGGTCTCAACACTAAGTGTTGAATGCACAGCTCTGTCTGCTCCGAGCATGGCTCAGGATTCCTCCTCAGGATTCCTCGGGAGCCACTCTGGCTGCAGGGCAGGGCTGTGCCCCTCCACCACTGCAGCCTGCCCCAGCTCCACCTGCCTTCACACCATCAGACCTTTACACTTGCACATTCCCCTCCCTGGGGACGCAGAAGGGAATTTTCACACTCAATCCATGATTCCAGGGAAAAAGGCACGAATCCCAAACGAGCTCCGAACACGCCCACACCCCATCCCGCTCTCCCCCAGCACCTCCAGCTCCTCATTCACGGCACAGCCCACTCAGCAGCTCCACACACTGAACAGACGACAGGATTAATACCCTGAGTCTTTGTGACTTTATCTGACAATAGGCTAAACACAAAAAGAGCTGGCTGGAATCATCTGGAAAAATAGGAAGCAGTTGCCAGGACTAAATGGCTCCACACTGATGCCTGCTCTCTGCAGACTGCAGCAGAGAAAACCTCCACTTACCTACATCCAGCTGGCAGCCTTTTAATAATCCAATAAAGCAAAAATGAAAAGGCAACCAGTCCCAAAGAGGTAGGAGAGGGAAAAGGAACAGAGTGTGCCCCTTCACACCACGCTCCTGAAAGCCACAGATAATTCTCCCTGCAGGGATGCAAATGGAACAGACGGTGCAGAGCCACTTCCAGAGAGCCATGGCACGGCCTGGCAGTGTGGAATGGCAGCTCAGGGGGAGCCAAATGACCACCAGGACTCTGCAAAAAAAAAGGACACGTTCTCTGTGTTTGTGATTTCTCTGCTGGGACAGAGCAGTGCAGGAGGAGAAGTGTCTGATGAACCCCCGGGGCACGGGGGCTGTGCCAGAAGAATCCACCCACCCACCCATTCAGAAGATCTGTGATCATTTATTTCCCACCATCAAGTGGACAACTTTAGAGTTGCTCCAGCCACCTGCACAACACTGAATGCAAGATTTATCTCTTCTCGCTGCTGATTCGACCCTTAAACATCCCAGGGTGAGGTGTTCCCATAAAATACACTTTGAGCAGGGAGAGGAGACCTCTAAGTAAGACAAAGTGTGATGTCAGTGCAACTGGAGTGCACATGAGTCTGTGTGTGAAGATATGCCCCAATCCCCAGGCTCTCCTCGTGCTCATCCCACTCCCTGGAACACTTAATCCCAATTCCTACCAGCTGTTATCCCACCTATCAGCCAACATCCCGCAGAAAGCTCTGCCTCAACGGCACCTTTCAAGCCCTGTTAATTATGGCAATAATGGTTTGATTAAGAAGATTGGCCCTGCAGTGTGTTCAGAGGAGCCACCACACCAGGTGTACGATGGCTCTGCCAGGAGGTTCC